AAACTGTTTCCCCTAAGAACCTGAACAAGACAGCGACGTCCACTTTCACCACTCTTATTTAATAATAGTGGCCCGGTGCATGAAATTTGTGCAGGGGTGGGGCGGGGAAGGTTCCCCTCAGCACAGCCTTCACCCTCTCCAATCGGACATCCCCCTTGCAATCTGGGACCGCTGGCTCCTAACCGCTCACCTTCCTACCAGCCTGATCTCCCTAACTGCTTTCCCCTGCCAGCCTGATCCCCCTAACTGCTCTCCCCTGCTGGCCTGATTGCCCCTAACTGCCTCTGCGTTGGCCCCGCCACCATGGCTTTGTCCGAAAGGACGTCTGGAAAGTTGTTAGAAAGTTGTTCGGTCTAATTAGCATATTACCCTTTTATTAATATAGGTTGATTTCAGAGAGGGAGGGAGAGAGAAACATCAATGATGAGAGAGAAACACTGATTGGCTACCTACTGCATGCCCCACATTGGGTATCAAGCCCACAACCCAGGCGTGTGCCCTGACCAGGAATTGAACTCCGGGCCCTTCAATCCTCGGGCTCTATCCACTGAACAACACTGGCCGGGGCTATACTTTCCCTTTCTGCTGGGACGTGTTCTGTCTGCTGGAGCTGAAACACTGAAGCTGTCTCACTGGGGCAGAGTGGGGTGCACCGGGCAGCTAAGGGCAGAGTGGGGTGCACTGGGTTGGAGCAGGTGGAGCCCCCTGAAAGCTGGAGAGGGGCCTCGTTTAACAGCCACACTGTTTCATGGCTGTGCTGCCTCCCAGTTGAGCAGCCACACTGTTGGGCTGTGCCACAGTGAGCGGGAGTTGACACAACTGAACTGTCTGCATGGATAGTTTCCTCCTCACCACACGCCAAGCTGGGGGTTCCTCTTAGGGTTGAAGTGACACTGACCACCCTTGGTTGGTAGCCCAATCGGCCACCTTAGAAAGAGAAGTGGGGAATCCTGACTTTACGTGAATGTTCCAATTTCTTAAGTTGGAAACTAATGCAAACTTCAGATGTTTGGACCAAACCAAAGAGGCGGTCAGGCCTGGTGTCCAGGCCACTGGGCAGCACTGGGATCAGTCCAGCTGTAAAGGGATCCTAGGTGTCTGGGCAGGTAAAGGGGTTAGGGGTGTGTTTGGGTAATTCCGATGTCCCCCCCCCCCCTTGTTTTTTTCCCCCACTAATCACAATCCTATATAATAAAAGGGTAATATGCAAATTGACCCTAACAGCAG